GCCGTTTTATACATTAATTATAAATAAGTAGCGGATGAAAAATACTCGTCGTTATAAATACCGACTTAGTCTGTAATTATGTCGATGAAATACAATATCATAAAATAAGTATGATTCTTAACCAAATATTCATAGAGTAAAGTGTGGTAAATATTTGTTTTAATTATCATTTATACCTTGCTATGATTAAATCAAAATTTTTATTTGGATACCAATAAAATTAGCTCTTTAGTTTGATAAAAATGTATTAAATTTATTAATCTATCAATATTTATTCGTATTAAACGATGTTTTAACTCTGATAATAGAAAATTGACATCTTATTTTTATAATATTAAACGCGTTGGATGATTCCGCTAGTGCGATTCATTCATTTATAACTAGTCTTTAGTCACGTACACACTTAAAAACTGTTCGCATAAAATGAAACCTGTTATTATACCAGAAGTGTGGTACTACACTTATATACATACAATTATATACATAAAATGTATATAATTGTATTATCATTATTTTTATTTTTAAATTTATATAACGTTCTATTACAATTTATTATTAATGCTCAAATCATTTAATAATATTTTTAATTCAAAATTATCAGATATATTTAAATAGAATATAAGTGAATAATAATATAATATAACATTTCAAATAAAAATAAAAACTATGTAATAGTTATTATGTAAGGTTATTATGTATTACATTTCTGTATTCTATGGGACAAATTCTGCACTAACAGAGATAGATGCCAAATTATTAATAAAATAGCTATGAATTAAGTTCAAATTGAATGAATTTAATTGACTAAGTACTCATATTTATTTGAATATCTTAGTTTTCATTGATTTTTAAGTTAACTTTAGATTTTTAAGATGTTAAGCTACTTTAACCATGTATCATACGTTATTCATATTTTCTTTATCTGTTTATTTTTATACTTCCAATGCGTATTAAATAAGTTAATTTTTGTAAGTTTCCTTTAAATATTAAAAACATTTTATAATTCATTAAATTTAATGTATTATTAATATAAGCATATAATATATGATAATGAAGTAGCCAAAAAAAAACCTGATTATACATTAATTTTAAGAAAAATATCACATAAAGCTCCCCAAATGAAGCCTGGGTACCTTTTTGGTTTTTCAGAGAAAGTGCATAAAATAATAGCCGTAAAAGACGTAGTATATATCGTCCAATTGATAACACCTTTTTTTCCACCAATCCGTTTGTTAAAAAAAGTTTTTAACCAAGAAGTGGGCTGTACTTTAATAGGCTGGGGGGCGTTAGATGTCCATACTAATAAAAATTTCGGCATAATATTTTTAATTGTCATACTTCCATCTATTTCCCATTCGTTAGCGTTTGGTATTTTATATACTAAGAATGACTTAGGTCGATTGCCGAAAACACTTTTTTTCCAATTATCGCAATTTTTTGGTTTATCGTTAAGAATTTCATTTAGGCTAGACATTATTTTAATGGAATCCTCGGCTTTAAGTAAATTATACACATCACCGAGTCTACAACTAAAAAATCCATATAGACCTAGTTCACTATCACTTCTTACGTCTGATGAATTCAATTTAAACACTGTATAATGACCAACGTTTGGTATATGTTCATTGAAATCGACATCAAATTTTTTAAGTAGTTGAAATTTAAATTTTTTTTCTACAGTTTCTATTAATCCACTCTTTGTCAAATTCATCACTAATTTGAAAAGCTTCGGTGATGGTAACATATTATTGTAAGGTTCCAATTGATTAATTAATTCCGGAAACGATGGTACATTGTTAATGTCTTTTAATAACATTTGCATATTCAAAGTACCTTCTGGCGTTCTATAATATTTTGGATTGAATATAGGACGTTTATTTTTTTTGTATGCATAGTCTATATGCGATGCGATAATATCAAAGTGAATTTGCAATAAAAAAGGATCTTTGTGTAAAATGCTTTGAACTTCTTCCTTAATAAGACGAATTTCCGATGGTTTTCTACGAAAAATGTTGTGAATGGTATCCATAAAATTAATTATACTGAAAATAAATTCTCGTAGAACACCCATTTTATCAAAAGTAAATGTTCGCTGTAATAAATTTGATATTTCTATGTTGCTAAGAAATGTATAAATTTAGTTCAAGATAAAAATTTCTTTAATAGCTAGATACTAAATTTTATAGTGAGCATATTATTATATAGATACATTTAAAAAATACTTAATGTAATAGTAAAATTATATTAGTAGAAACATAATTTTTATGAACTTTTATGATCATCATTTATAAAGGTAATAGATAATTTTTTAAACGGTTTCAACTTTGGTTATTATTATGATAAATTCATAGATGTTATGGTATTCAACTAGGGCCGTAAAACTCTTTGTAAGAGGTGTTATTAAATTTTTTTTGTTGTCTTGAACACTTAAACATAATCAAAGATCTACGATCCAAATTATACTATGCTATTCAAATAATTAAATATTAGAATATATATACTAGAATCGCATATATTTTGCTACTATGAAATATCATAACATTTTATTTTAACATTATTAAAAATATACGGAATTAAAAAATTACATAATCGATTTTTATCAATGAAATTGAAGTCACTCGAAGTAAAATGGTCTTAACATACATATCTATGATGAAATATTCTGCGTAATAAATTCTATAAAATTATTATTTATTACAAATTTATTACAACAAAAAATAAATATCTGTGTTTTTAATATTTATAATTATCCCCAATGGAATTTTGCTGCTGATTTCAAATCTGTTTTCAGATTTGTTCCATTATATCTATTATTTTTGATAAAAATACTAATTAGTAATTAATCAATAATAACACATTTAAAAATTCATGAAAAATTGTTTTAAATTTCAACATTTACGCATGTTTTTTCTAATAACAGCATTTATTTCATTTTTTAATGACGCATCAAGACAAAAAATAACATTTTTAAAATCCTCATGAAATTGTTTAACATATAATTGTTAGATGTAAATAGCCTAAAAACAGGTTAAACTTGCTGTCAAATTTCGCACAACACTATATAACAGATTAAAACAAATTTAATTAAAAAAAATTTTTTTTAGTTTTTTAAGCACTTTTATCGTTTAATTAGTAATTATATCAGAAATAATTGATGTGATGGAACATATCGGAAACAAAATTTAGAATCAGTAGCAAAATTTCAAATAAGATTTGTCTAAATATTATAAGCCGCAAAATTTTATTTTATCTTGTGTAATCTATTTCTTGTATACATTTTCATTAGCTGGTAAAAATACAAACGTTTATAAAGTTTGACATGACTCAAAGTAAAATTAATAAACGCCCAAATCGCTGACAAAAAGGTTATTATGATTTTTAAAAAAAATAAAAATTAACTATTTTTTTATAATTAGAAATAATTAAAGACAAATAGTAAAAAAATGTATTTTTATCATAATCCAAAATTGTAAAAACTATTTTATAGAAATAATATTTGCTGCATCAAATTCTTTTTTAGATTTGTCGAAACATGATAGTCCACTCTGTATATTATTAAGATGTTTGACTATTTAAGTGGGGTTAGCCTTAGAGATAATGTCTGGTGGTAACACATTATTTCACGTTTTTTCAGAGTCATTATAATGGTAGTCCGACTTATTAACTACGTTAATAACTTTATGATCGATCTGTCTTATGAATTGTAAATTTATTAAAAGACGTGTGATGAAATTTATAAAACCAAAATGAGAATTAATATTGAAAGTATACAATTAATTTGTTTTAGAACTAAAAATATTCTTAAAGAGGCTATATTCAACAAAGTTATGACTTTAATTATATTATATGTTACGTGCGTGACAGGGGTAAGTGATATTCAAGTAAATATATTTGGTTGTGGATTTTAATAATTAGACCTCCGTTTTATTTAATGCAAATTAACTTTTTGTTTAATTTATTTTCTCAATGAATATTCAAAATGTTTATTTTATGCATACGTAAAAGGTGTATTGACAAATATTTAAACATTTTAAAAGCGCGTTTAAAAAAAGGAAAGTTATTTTATAAAAAAATAACTGAGCCAAAGATTTATTTTAGAAATATCTTGTAGAATTAGCAATTTTTTTAATATTTACCAAAATGATACACTAAAAAGGTAAAATTATACCTAAATTAAATAAACTAAGATGAGAAATAATTAGTTGGATGTTTACAATAGTTTTTTTTTGCGTTTCAACAAATTAACACGTATTTTAATTATGTTGAATATTATTATTCGTAGAGGTCGTATATATAATAAAATCGCTTGTAATAAACAATAGTGTTTTACGTTAAGACTAAACTTTTATTTGGTAGAAAAGTTCTCATATTTTAATCAAATCATTATTACAGACATTTAAGTAAATTTATGATTATAATAATAGTGTTAGTTTTGTTTATCTGATCAAATAGCTAGTTATTTTTTATTATTTATACATCAATTATTTTTATAAGGATCATAGCTTTATCATATTACAGGGGGAGATTCATTGGTGAAGAAGGTAAATGTAGTAGTATTGAGAAATCACATTAACGGAGTATTATAATTTCTTAATAAACTAATGATAATTAATTTTATTATAGTATAAATTATACCACTACAATAGTAATAGTAATTATTATAAGTTAAGAGAGTGCACTGTCAACTTTTGTATAAATGAATAATGTATGACAGATACTTTTTGTTTCTTTTCATATATAAATTAATACAATTTGTTAAAATTTTTCTTTATTTTCTTTGGATCTCAAATAAAAATATTAGGTACTAAATAGATTATATTTTAAGTCTACAGCCGATATTTATTAAAAAATTGTTATCATTTTTTAAGTTCTAAAAATAGCTTTTCGTCCCTTATAAAAACATTAAAATTACAGTTATTCATCATTTTTCAATCTTTTATTAGATAATAATATTATTAAATAATTTTTTATAGGAAATTTAAAGTACATTTTTTTTTTAGTTAACCCTAATGGTTAGTGGAAATGAAACTAATAAAAACAAAGGTTGTGATAGCCAACATTATGTGGCAGCTGTTGTTGAATATTTTCCAGCATCAGGATCAACACCATCCGAAAAAATAGATAAAAATCTTCCAGTGTATGAAGATATTATAAGTCATGTCAGTCGATACGTAAGTCGCTTGATTTTAATATATTTTTTTTATAAAATTAGAGACTTAAGATAAATAAAGTACGCTATTAAAATATTTTAATGACCAAAAGACATAAATTTAACATTTTTTTCATTTGAGAATTCATTCTGATAAGAAATCATTGTACTTTATTTTAGGATGTAGACATACTTGTTTTCCCGGAGGGTGGTCTCGCGGGAGTAACTCTACCAGATGACAGAAAAGAAATTAGAACATTTTTAACTGAAATACCTTCTCCAGAAAGCAACACAATACCTTGTTTTTCAGAAAATTGTAGTCCGGTTAGTTTCTTCAATTTTACAATTTTAAACATTTTAAATTTATCAAAAAATTAAATAAAAATAATTTGTAATTTCACTTAGGTATTAAAAAAATTGTCGTGTGCTGCTCGTATAAATCATGTATACGTAGTGATTAATTTACCAGAAATAGAATATTGTAAAAAAGAAGACGATGCATCGTGTCCTGATGATTTAGAAAATTACTACAATACAAACGTAGTTTTTGACCGACAGGGAAAAATTGTCGCCAGGTAATAAAATAGTTAAATAACTCATAATTAATTTAACAATTTGCCAGTGATAATGATGACTGACCTGTCTATAAAAAATTATCATAGACATTTTTTATCATAGTATATTTATAAATAGATATTATTATTTTTTTCATAACCAATTATTACAAAAACTCAAAAATATATATTTTAATTTGATTTCGAAAACGTCATTATCCAACCACCAAATTGCACCTCTATCAGGCTTAATAAACATAATTGTCCGAATTAATATATCTACATAACAGATTGAACGCAATATTTTTTTTAAAGTTTATATATCATATATTTTAGGAAGAAGAGAAAGAGGTAAACCATAAAAGAGATGGTTGGATGTAAATTAGGATTGTGATGCGGACTTGGTGTCTGCAAAGATGATGTAGGAAATAGTGTCAAGTGTTGTATTAGGATATAGGTAGCCCACTACAAGTACTTAGAATTAAAGCAAAGGAGATACATCACTTGTTATACAGAGTGTAAAATATATTTTAGTTTTTTATAATAACTCCTTATAAATGATGAACTTTTTATTTAGTTCGTAGCTAATAATATACCAACCTAGATTAAATTTATATACAGTGAACTGATGATTCTAAAAACGTTTGATTCAATTATCATTTTGTTGAACCTTTTATTTTATTATTTATTTACTACCCTTTTAAACTATGTCTAAAACAAATTTGTTATTATTTATCACCAGTAAGAAAAATAAATATATTTTTTAATATTTTATAATTTTTTCGACATTTCAATATATTCATTTTTTAATTTTTTTTACAAAATTTTAGCTTCGATGCGAAGCTGAGAAGGTATTGGTTTTACTATGATGTGTTTTTTTTTTTTTTTTTT